ATTGAATTATTGATGAAAAAATTTAACTAAGTTATCTTTCTCCTACTCTCCACTATTATTGGTGTGTCTCCCAAGTGTCCTTTTCATTGCTCATAAACTCTGTTGATAAATAAGAACAAGAGAAAATATTTCACCTCAATATTTGTTAAAATTAATTAGTCTAACAGGCTCAAATATAAAACTGAAAAAAGGTAGAAGAAGTAAAAAAAACGATAATATCTATAAACAAAACAAATTGTGCAAAAAAGACCAGGAATGCAAGGGAGCCATGAAACCCTAAGAAAACCATGAATTTGGACAATATATGGAAACTATTCATCAACACATCACATCCTACACATAAATTAATGAAATAAAATAACCAAAAGCCACCACAAGCCCATAAACAAATCTTCTGTTCCAAAAGACAGAGAGAAAATCTGAATATATTATAAATCTCCTTTGTTGACCAATGGATCCACAGAAGAAGAACTTTTAAAGAATTCTTTGCATGGACGACAGGCAGAGAGCAGCCACCCCTCCTCGACTTGAAGACCGCAGCCATTTCTTGCAACACGTGCAGGATAATTCCGGCCAATCCCGTAACCACGTCCCTAATGGTTATAAATTTAGTTTCAATAAAGACAAAATATAGGTTAAGGAAAATAAGATTAAAAATATAATTTTTAAGTTTCTCAGTCTTAGAAAAAGAAATAAAAAAAGTGTTTTCTTAAAGAAAAAATTATGTTACTTGTATTCTTCTGTGGCTGGCTGGCTAAATAATAATCATATAGATGGTATAATGAATTTTTTATTGCATGGTATACATAATTAATTTTATTTATGACCATTCTAGAGAATTGTTAGACTTTGTAATAAATTATGCCGAGTATGGGAAAGAATGTCAACGTGAACTATGATTAGCTGCTCGTGACAGCTACATATATGTAGTGTGTGAATAAAAATTATCACCTTTTAACTAATTTATAAATTGTATATTATAAATTAACTAAATTTTAAAAAAATTTGTGATTTATTTATTATAAGTAACAATTAATTAAACAAAAATTATTACTACCAATTTGTTATCTTTATGTAAAATTGGTAATTAAAAATAAGTTATATTATTTTTTTATGAAATATTTTTATAAATATAATAATTATTACTTATTATCACTATCCGTTGAACCGTAACAATTTTATAATTAAAATTTATTTTTTATTGTTCAAATTTAAATCGACATATAAAATGTTTTATTAATTTTAAATATTAGTTATTTTTTATGTCGAATAAAAATTAAATTGTCATAATAAGTATTTATTATAATGGTTTAATTTTGAATAAATATTGAAAGTGACTTTATCAATTTTATAAGTCACTCTTTATTATGGTTCCAAATTAAACTGACATAAAAAATACTTATTATGACATTCAAAATTGAATCGTCATAAAAAATATTCAAATTTATATTTTTTACATTTTTTTTATCCTCTTCATTTTCCATTTTTTTCTCCCACGTAAGAAAACTCTAGTTAATTTCTTCCTTTTATTTCATTCTCTCCTCATCATATTTACCACAACTCCCTACAATCTTGCTTCTTCCTCGTCTACAATAAAGGTAATATATGAAAGTATTGTCTCATTTTATCCTCTTCAATTTCCATTTTTTCCTCTCACGTAAGAGAATTCTACTCAATTTCTTCCTTTTATTTTATTGTCTCATCATCACATTTATCTAGTTTTGTCTTGTATCACCACTTCCTACCATCTTGCTTCTTCCTTATCTACAACAAAGGTAATATATGAAAATATTGTCTCATTTTTCTATATTAGTTTGTATTTTATGATTTGATTTAATTTAGTGTTCTAATATACGTCAGATTGCAATTGTTATTATAATTTTTTTTTTCTTTTGTGAATGATTTTCTATCTAACTTAAGTCAAATTATCTATATTTTATGTTTAATCATTTTTCATATGTAAATAATGTTTATCTTTAATTTTTAAAATTTATCGTTGTATTGAAACTATTTGATAAAATATTTATAAGAAATATAACTATATAAAAAAAATTTAACACTAGACTTTATGACAATTATATTAAGAATAATAAATACTTACTATATCGGATATTTAACAATCAATATAAAAAAATTATACTTTTTATGTCTGTCAATTCGTGTCAACTGTAAAATCAACCTAAATAATTTAAAATAATCATCATAAAAAACCTTCCTTACATTAATAAATATGTTATTTTTAGTATTTTATAATTTATTGTTATTTTTATCAATTAAAATATTTAATGTTGCCTAATATTACTTCAATTTTGATAAATGTTAAGTGCAATCTACGTGAAGATTACATTTTTATCACCCTCTATTTTTACACAAATTAATGGTTTAGAGAAAAATAATGGTTATTGTGCAAGTTCATCACTTCAATAGTTAATAATTTATATTTTTCTTTTTTATATAGTTAATAAAATCGCTGTCTATTATATTACATAAATTATAGATATAAATTTACTTCAATAACACAATATTAAATATTACATAATGGCTCATATCTTTTGGGCATAATAAGTACAAATTTAATTGGAAATATTACTTATGGTTCAGAATTTTACTGTGTTATTATAAATTTTTTTACATCTTAATCTTAAAATAGCATATGTAATATATTTATTGTTTTCATTTTTTTTAATTGTCATTTTTAACAAAAGTATGAAATATAAGTTATATTTACAATCAATAAATTAACATCATTAAGAATGTATAACATTATTTTTAAAATAAATTTAATTTTATCTAAAAATTGTGTAGTAGTATATATGTCTAACTGTGTTATTTTAAAACAACAATTATTTTCACCATTTATTTACAGCATTGATACAATTTTTTTATTTGTCTAAACTCATTCTAATTATAAATTTCTCTTTATAAATATTTAAACATATAATATTTATTGAAACTACTATAATATTAGGATTATATATATATATATATATATATATATATATATATATATTGTAATTAAGTATGATTTTTCTTGTAAAATCGTTGGAAAAGTATTTTATATTTAGAAATTTTACATTGAATTTTTTTTTATTTAGAGTTGATTAAGAAAATTTTATAGTTTAAATAATTTCTATAGTACATTAGTAAGTACATTATAAATAGCATATAATGGACATATATTATATTAAGGGTATATTTAGGACTATCTTTTTAACTTAAATACGAAAAAGATTTAAATAATATTAAATTTATTATAATATTGGGTGTGTAAACAAAGTAATAAAATAAAAATAATTAAAAAGAATATAAATCGTATTTTATTTTATTAAACATTTATAATATTAAAGGTAATCTTAGAATTATATTAAGGTTCTATTCGTTGATCATACTAGAAGTTTAATTTTAAAACCTTTTAATTAGTATGATAAGAATTTAAATAGCATTGATGTACATTTTTATGTATTTTAATACAATTAATGATATAAAATAGAATTATAAAATAAGAAAATAACTTTATATTGACCTTATATAATAAGATATTAGATTTATAAGTTTTTCTTATTTATATATTATTTAATTTAATCATTAATTTATCTAATAAATAAATTATTACATAACAATCTAAAAAATAACAGTCACTATACATAAAATATCATAACTACATATGATTTAAAAATTGAAAATTCAATTAATAATTAAAAAAAATAATACTAAATTATTTTTTTAACAAAAATAAACGTACTAAAACATCAGCGTGTCTATATTTTTTATATTATTAATTTATTTTAAAATTAAATTTTAAAATTTTATTTTATTTTTCTACTCTTCATTCTTTAAATATATTCACATTCCTTTTCTACTCAATATATATGGTGGTATCATACTTTTTTTAGTAACTTTTTTTATATATATCATTTTTCTCCTTATATGAATAATTTACAACATGATAATATATAAAAAAAATCTTTTTATAACCGATTTTTATAAAAACAAAAAGAATTATATATAGGTTATATTTATCTTATATCTTCTTTCGTCCACTTCTTTTTCAATTACATGTTTTTCTTTACCTTTTCTCTCAAATATAAAATAATAAATAAAAATAAAAATAAAATTATATCTTTTTTACTCCCTTAATTATACATTTATTTTCTCCTCTTGAAATTTCATCTCACATTTAGTTATCTCCAATAATTTATAATTTTAAGAATACTTACTTATATTTTTAAATTGATATAATATATATATATATATATATATATATATATATATATTAAATTTTAATAAATTAAAATAAAAAAACATAGATCCAAAAATACATCTATACTATCTTTCCGCTAGCAATATATCATATATAATGAATATACATAAAAAGAATAATATATATATATTTTAAATCACAAGTCTATTGAATAGAGACGGATTATATATGTGATATATTAACAAAATTATTATAATTGAGATTTTTTTCCACCGATATTATTATTTAATAATTAATTATACAAATATTTAACATAATATTTATTTAACTAGTATTTTAAGATATTATGTGATTAGAATTAAAATATAATAAATATCTTCGTAAAAGAAAATTATTATTTTTCTATTTTGATATTAAGATAAAATCATTGTATCAAAGCATTTTTAGTTGAAGGATGATATTGGAACTATCTATTTTAATTATCTAGCTACAATTCATCTGTATAATCTAATAAAAAAAATCGTCCAATGTTCTAAAAACCCATCATTTTAAATTAAATATTAAAAAAATAATTTATAAAATAGTTTCCAAATCAATTTTTAATTCATCTACTCAATAAAGTATTTTCTTACGTTGATCCATATATTACAAAAATAACATATTCCCTGTTTTTCTAAAACATAATTAACCATCTTTGATGAAATTTCCTCTGTTAATCATGTTTTTTATTTCCAAAGTTCAAATATGATATCTTGTATAAGAAAATTAAACCAGTTACACCCAAACTTTCAGCTGTGCATCAGGAACCATTGACGTGAGAAAATTGTACAATGAGAGAGTTGGAACGCTTTGGAAAAGAGAGAATCTGTTTCTGAACTTTCTCCATGTCAATATCTGAATACCGTAGCCAAAAAGCAGAACATATATTCATTTCCTCCAGCACTGCTGCATTTTCCATCACGAATTTTGCCATAAGAACCTCATGCTCACGCACGTTAAACTCTTTGAACTGAAAAACCTTGAGGCTAAACAGAAAGCACTGAGGCACTGATGCAGAAGTCAACACATCTTTATTTAATTCAGATACTCCCTGAAATCATTTTTTTGGGTAAAATTAGTCAACATTTTTGTATAATGTGTCTGACAAATAAACAAACACTTTGAAAACTTACATTTTGTAAAATAAGCGTATTAAGAATTGGGGAATTGTGAAGAATATCCATCATTGCTTCACCAGTAACCTCATTTAGTTGCAGATAAATCAATCTCCCAAAAGCTGGTAGATGGGTGAAAATATCTATGGCATGCATCAAAACCTGTAAGACAAAGAAAAACTAGTTCAAATTTTGAGAGTCAAATTTTGCATACCTTGTGGAAAGACAAGATAGCTAAGCTAGATTATAAAGTGCACCATCAAAGTTAAGTAGGACATTCCACAATATAATAGAACCAGGTATACAGAGGTATATATCTAAAAAAATTAAGTTAAGTTTTGGCCTTTCTAACAAATTTATTTGTTTTTAATTTTGAAATGCATAACTTTTTTTTTTTCAGTAATTTAGATAGATTTTCATAGAAATAACAAAAATCTGTTTAAATAGCAGCTTCAATAATCAAAAGTAGTGTATTTTTTTTTTAAATTAGAGAAACAACAAATTTTAGAAAGACCAAAACTGAACTTTAAATATTAGAGGATCAAATATATTTGAATCTATTAACATGCAATTAAAAAGTCAAATTATTTGACGATACAGGAGAAATGTTATCTTTCGATGATGTGGTCTAGTACGATTTAATATCTAAGAGACTGTTAAAAAATACAGTAAAAATATTTAAATTTATTCTTATACCAGTCGTATATATTTGACAATTTTATATATAAACTTCATGTTGATTCTCTAACATCAACCTTATATTACTATTTTGTTAGGAAGTAAGTCTATGCTAGTAGTTGGGTTGTGTTAGTTATTTTTTTTCTGTATGCTTTCCGTTGACTAGCTAAATAAAACTATGTCACTTGCTATAAATAATGTAATATCATTCTTTTTTATATGCATTTTTTTTTAACTCTTTGTGTGAGTTTTGTGTTCCTTTATGGTATCTAGAGCCAGGTTCGTGTATAGTGTGACCTGTGAAGGAGTGGTGATAAAATCAGAAGGGTTGTAAAGTGTGTTGAAAATCGTCTTGATTCTCCAAGATTGTGTGCATTGGGAATTAAGCATAGTTTGAAAATCCTGCGAAGATTTTTGAATTAGTGGAAATGAGGATGGCTGGAAATGGTAGTATCATCCAAGGGGCTCTACCAGTTTTCGATGGGAAGATGTTTGATGATTGGTGCATCAAGATGATGGCCATATTCGAATTTCAAGATGTCTTAGATGTGATAATAAGTGGTGTTGAAGATCCTGGGAAGAAAGTTAGTGAAGTAAAAAGAAAGAATTACAAGAATCAACAAAAGCTCGATAGTAAGGCCAAGTTTCTGTTGTACCAGTGTGTAAGCTCGACAATCTTTAAAAGATATCAAGGGCAACTACTGCCAAGGAAGCATGGGAGATTCTTGTCAAGACATATGGAGATGACGACAAGAATAAGAAGGTGAGACTGCATACACTGAGAAGAAAATTTGAGCTTCTAATGATGGAGGAAAATGAGTTTGTTGCAGAATATTTTGACAAAGTTCAAGAACTTGTTGATGCCATGCGAACATGCAAGGATTCTATCACAGATCAATTAGTGGTTAACAAAATATTGAGAACTCTACCTGACCAATTTGATCACTCGGTGGTTACAATTGAAGAACACGTGATCTTGATTTAATGGATTTAGAATACCTATAGTATTCGCTTGAAGCTCACGAGTGCAGAATTAATGAAAGAAAGATAATTAAAGAATTGGCCGTTCAAGCAAGAACTGACTATAAAGACAAGAGTAAAAGTTTTGGCCAGTAGACAAATAGAAAATTTGTGACTGGTAAGGGAAAGCTGAAACCAGCAAGTAAATCCAAGGAGGATAATCAAGAATAATCTTCATTTGGAAATGAAGAGAAAGAGTGGAAGTTTGATAAAAGAAAGGTGAGGTGTTATAAGTGCCAGCAGATGGGGCACTTTGCTCATGAATGCCCAAATGGTGATGGAGTGAAGGGCAAAAAGAGTCGAGCACATCTTGCTGAAGAAGAAGAAATTGTTAAGTGGCAAAAGTTGATAGAATTATGCTTTGAATTGTCATTTAACCACTTAAATTATGTTGATTCTAATATATTTTTCTCAATGTACGATAAAATTTACAGAGTACCTGGGTACAAGAGTAAGGATCATAATTCTCAAGTTAATGGAAGAAAAATTGGAAAAAAAGAAGATTTTCAGCCTAAGATTCGCTCGAGCGGGAAAGACTCTCGCTTGAGCGATAATACGTTAAACCTCTCTAGAAGTTAGTCACTCGAGCGAGGTAGATACTCGCTTGAGCAAAAATACGTTAAACCTCTTTGGAAGTCAGTCGCTCAAGCGAGCAAATTCTCGCTTGAGCGAAAATCATTAACACTCGCTTGAGCAAATGTATCCGCTTGAGCGAATGACGCGAAAGTTTTCTATATATAGATCAGATGTGTTTTCAGAAGGGGAGTTTTGAAGGTTTTGAGAAGAAAGGCGCGACAGCTAATCGAGTTTTCATCCAATCTACAATTCATCTTCAATTCTTATTCATTTGGATCATTGTAATGACCATCATAAGTGACTAACTTCATTCTCTTAGGATTGGGTGCACTTCCTTTAAACTCTTTTGTATCTTGGTGATGTTTTGAGATATTAATCTATGTTCTTGATGTTGATATTCTTCTCCTTTGTGTTCTTTAATGTTTATATTTGATGTTTGGGATGTATTGGAACATATATCTTGAAACCCTAAATCAGATTAAGAATATTTGCTACGTTAATTGCTAAGAATGGTAATGGATGTATCAATTGCTTAACACCCTAAATCTAATGCTGGGAAATCTATTAATTGTATGAGGAATCAACGTTTATTAGGTTTTCTTATGAATTTCATGTGCGAGAAATCAATGTGAATGATTTAAGTAGGTGATATCAACATTGATAGGTTAATTGATGTTCTTAATTTGACTTAGCCATTATATAAAAGAGGGAAAAGGAATAAAATCAATCTTAAGTTCTTTTATTTGATCTTTTCTAAAAACATATTACAGTTCTGTGCCATTTATTTTTAACCTAAATATTTATGAAAAACCAGTTTTGTTTTAATCCACTTAGTAAACTTATAATTTGGAATTTCTAATGAAACCGTTCCTCAAGGGATCAACTTTTATTTAATCAAAATATTGTACTGTGATTGATAATATTGATGCGCTTGTCAATTATTCAAAAAGTATTTCGGGCGTCGTTGCCAGGCAACGATGTTCCTTGGGAATTCTTTGTCTAGTTTATTATTTGTTTTTTTATTTTTTATTGTGGTCCTGTACTAATTCTTGTTTGAGTTGTTCTTTGATTTATGTTTTTAAGAGGAAAGGTATCTATAGATCAGTTAGAATTTGATCCTGAGATTGAAAAAGCCACTCGGAGGAATCGTGGTAGAAAAAGAAGGGAAACTCAAGAACAAATAACAGGAGAATCAGTCAACTTTTCTCCCATACTTAACTTACAAGAACCAATCATAGAAGATATGGAGGGTGAAAGAGCGAATTCGAATCCAAATCCACCTAGAATGACACTTGGAGACTATATTATGCAACAAGGTCAAGGTCCGAGACATTTTTCCAGCATTGTAATACCAGCCAACCAATCTTTGGAGATGAAACCAACATTCTTAAGCTTGATTAGTGTTCATCAATTTACTAGAATGGATCATGAAGATCCTTATATTCATTTGTCCATTTTTTATGAGCTGATTGACACCATGGGATTTAAAGAAGGAGTTATTGAATTTGCGTACTTGAGATTGTTTCCTTTTTCATTAGCTGGCAGGGCAAATTAATGGTTGAAAACACATCCTAATCAGAGTTTGACTAGCTGGGGTAATGTAGAAGAGAATTTCCTGAACATATTTTTTCCACCAACCCACTATATCAAGGCAAAATCCGACATTTCTACTTTCAGACAAGGAGTAGATGAACCTTTTTGTGAAGAATGGGAGAGATTTAAATCACTGTTGAGGAGGTGCCCAAATCATGGATTTGAAGACATTGTCCAGTTGAACATTTTCTGCACTGGCTTGAGACCTAATACAAAGATGTTATTAGATGTTGTAGCAGGAGGAACCATGATGTCTGTGGATGTTGAACATGCCACAAGAATTATTGATGCACTAGCCTCTACAGACCAGCAGGCCCAACATGATTGGCATTTAGTTTAGAGGAAAGGAGTGCTTGAACTTAGCACCACAGATGTTATCCTAGCTCAGAATAATATTCTGACTCAACAGATTGAAGCATTGACTAAGCAAATGACAAAATTGCCTCAACAATTACATGCAATCCAACTCACTTCCAATAAAAAAATGAGTTGTAAATTTTGTGGAGGTGATCATCTAAATGGACACTGCTCTTATCAAGGTAACCTACAAGAAGGAGAAGCTCATTATATGGGTGCTCAAAGTGGTAGTGGTCAAGGAAGACAAGCAAATTTCCCTAATTCCAACAACTATTAGAACAATTTTTCACAAGGATGGAGAGGGAATCAGAATCAGAATTTTGGGTGGAAGCAAGGTGCTAGTACATCTAATAGATAACCTCCAAATCAACAACAATATATCAGCAACATTTATTCCAACAACAACAACAATATTATCTTCCAGTACATGAAAGAACAACCAAATTGAAAGACACTTTGGAGAAATTCATGCAAGCTTCCTTGTCTAATAAGAAAAATACAGAAGTTTCAATCAGAAATTTAAAGACCCAAGTGGGTCAATTGGCTAAACAGTTATCTGAACAACAAGAAGAAAATTTTTCAGCTAACACACAAACCAACCCCAAGGAGCATTGCAAGTCAATAACTATAAGGAGTGACAAAATTATAGGTAAGGGGATTGGTGACAATATAGTTGTTGAAGAAGTTCTGGTAAAAGAAGATGAAGAGTAAGAAGAAGAGAGTAAGAAAGAAAGATATATCTCTAATAAGAATAATGAAGAGGGAGAAGAAAAATAAAAGATAATAAGAGGAGAGAATAACAAGAATGAATCTGCCCAAGAAAAAGGAGGGAGTCAAAAACCATTTGTGAAGAAGTCACCATATCCCAAGGTTTCTTCAAAAATAGACAAAGAGAGACAATTCACCAAATTTATGGATATTTTCAAAAGGTTGCAGATTAATATACCTTTTGTGGAAGCTATGGAACAAATGCCACCATATGCCAAATTTATGAAAGAACTCCTCACTAAAAAAAGAAGATTTGCAGAAGAAGAGACAATAGAATTGGAAGCAGGGTGTAATGCAATTTTTTAAAAATCTTTGCCAACAAAATCCAAAGATCCTGACAGTTTTACTATCCTGTTATCATTGGTGCATTACCAGTGGGAAAAACTTTACTTGATTTAGGGACTAGTATAAATCTCATGTCATTTTCTATGCTCAAAATAATAGGAGACTTGGATGTTAGACCAACTAGAATGACTCTACAACTAGCTGACAAATTAATAAAGATTCCTTATGGAATAGTAGAAGATGTTTTAGCTAGAGTGGACAAATTCATATTTCTTGTTGATTTCGTGATTATGGACATGGAGGAAGATGTGGAAGTTCCATTGATCTTGGGAAGACCATTTATGAAGACTACTAAAATGATTATATATGTTGACAAGGGCAGGTTGGAAGTTAGAGTGGAAGATGATGAAGTTAATTTTAATTTGTTTGAAGTTGTGCAACACCCAAAAGACAAGATTATTTCAGAATAGATATTTTGGAAGAGTTACTCATCTCAAATAAAAAGCAAGTAATCAAGTCAGATCCTTTAGAGAAAGCATTGATGGAAGGATGTTATACTCTGGACATGGAAGAAGATTCAGAAGTGAGGGGATGTTTAATGGAGTTAGATAGAGCGAAAGAGATTTTATCACACAGTGTTAAGGTTGAAGATTTGGGAAAAGAAAAGAAAATTGAAGAAAACAAAGTTGAGTTGAAATGTTGCCCCACACTTGAAGCATGTATTTCCTGATGAGGAGAGATATAAACCAGTGATAATTAGCAGCTCATTATCTCCAACTGAGGAAAAAAAA